GCGTCGCCTCCAATTAATTACCTTAATTGCGACGAACGTTACAAATGTTTCAAAGAGGTACGGCTCCGTCGAGAGAGAGATAGAGAGAGAAAGGGCCCTGTCGCGTCGTTCGGCCCTACCCCGAGAAACGTTTGCAAGGCGTGGAACTGATCGATCCCATCGCGACTCACATCGCTCGAGACTTTGTATTGATTTCGTCTTCGATGTCGGACCTCTCTGCTGAGAGATACTTCTGATGCTTAAAACACGGAATAGATATCATTGTTTGTCATTAGAGGCATTCAAATTGTAGCGCAAATTTCCGAGAAACGAAACGATGCAGGATAAGAGAAATTTTGACACGCGATAAAGCAAGAAATTTCGATAACAGTCGTTAAGGAACCTCCGTGTTTTAAGAATTAAGTCACAGTTAAAATGTCATGCTCGCTATTAGCTAGATCGATTAAAATAAAGTATGTAATCAACCTACAACTATTACACGTAATGCAATTACAAATAACAGAGCAGAATTTGACAAATTTCATCCCAACATCAGGTAAACATTTAATCTACCGATGATATCTTTTAAAGAGACCTGTAAATAAATTGGCAATGAATACATACTTATCGGAGGTACTGCTATCACCGCATCCCTCGAAGCAAAAGTATTTCAAAGTAGATCGGTCTAAATTATCACATTTGCATCATTCTAAATTTTCACATGAGCGAATTAATTTTATTTTATAGATTATATTAAATTTCTTTCCTTTTCGTAAGCTTTACCCTACCACTTCGGACACGATTCTAGTACCATTTCTGACCAGTGACTGCAACTGTTGCGCAGCTCCCTGAAACATACGACGAAAACTGTAATAGATAACAAATTCATCTTTCTAAATTATGTGCTAGTCGACAGAATTCAATTACGTTTGGGTAAACGTAATTGGATGTAACGTGACAGGAACGTCGGGCTGATTGCCATCTGTTTCCTTCATCATCTATCACCAACAAGCGTGAAAAACGCGAACAGCGAGGAAATTAATGAATAACGAAAATAAGAGAACAACTTACGCTTATCGCAGCACCGAGAAATTGACTGAATGCTCTGGTAGCACCAAATAATGCGCTATTTCCAGAATTATCACCGGCTGACTGCGCCGGCGTACCGTAATTGGAGAAAGAACTGAAGAGAGGTGGTGGATACGTAGAGCTTGGTGACCACGTTGTAGTGCGTATCCTTGGTCCTGAGGTTGGTCTCGGTGTCACCGTCTTTTTCGTGGTATCCGTTGGTCGGGTTGCAGCAGTAGATGCCGGCCTTGTCGTAATTGTCGAAGACTCGCTAGCAGGGGACGCGGTCGGAGCAGAGGTGACGCTCTGCCCGAGACTCTGTTACAAGACCAGCAATTATTTTCTTTCATCGCGCCCCGCTCTTTGTTGCCTCGCGCTTCGCCCTTGTCATTCGATTAACTATCGCCGAACTCGCGTCTAACTGGACCAATTTGTAAGAATTATATCAAATTGTTTGGTGTCGTTAAACTTTCCGTTATTACACTCTATGCATTTTTGCAATTAGAAAAGAATATAATTCCAGGATATCCGAATACCTTTTATGTAAGAAACAATTTGAATAATATAATTTAATCATAAAAATTGATGTTCAACTATCCTAAAGTTTCCCAGATCAGTTTAATTATTTCAAAAGTTCTTTATCTTCAGGTTACTTAATTGAGTAAGCTTAAGTCGGATAAAAATGGTCGTTCTAAGTAAATTGATATAAAGACTATAGTGATTAATCAAAGTAATGTTATCTGAAATCAATAACTAAATTCTACGAATCGTATATTTGCAACATGTGCTAAGTACATTGCTGTTAAGATTTCAGTACGTTACAAACTATTTAATTGACAACACTTACGGCTAACTGGAGTTGCTCTCTAATATTATTGGCCGGAGTTGGTGGTTCTATACCTTGAGCTTTCAATAATGCCGCCAACAAAGCGGCGTTACTGACTTCTACCGTCGGTGATGGAGTTGTTGTTGTTAAAGTTCGACCGCTTAAAATCGCTCTTAAAAAAGATTGATCATCCTGAGTTAATCCTGGCACCTTCTTCGAACCAGTTTTATTATCTGTAACAAACGTAACGCCACATCTGATACCAATCGTTTCCTTGATCGTTTCCTTATTACCGAATTTCAATCAATTTTATATATCATATCCTACCGTAATTTACCCTACATCTACAAGTATCGTTTTACGACTTACCCTGTTCAACAGCTCGCAGAAGCTCAACTATGAACTTTGCATCTTCTTCGGGAGAATAGGTCGACGTCACCACACCAGGCAACCTCGGATTTGGATTATTAATCAATGGTTGATCGGTGGTCGAGATTGTAAACGGCGTGGTCACTGACTTTTCCTGTACAATTGAATATGGACTGTTTACTTGAATTTTCGAAATGTCCACAGTTTTCAGAGTCGTACTAGAGGAAATTGTTGTCGTTTCTAACTTTTGCGTGGTTTGGATTGGTTTCGGCATAATATTAATCGATTTTTGCGTGGTTTTTGGCACCGGTTTAGCTTTTACGGGCTTCGGAGTTGTCGATGATCCGAATAAACCTCCACCGAGGAGAGCCTGCCACAGAAGACCACCAAAGCCTAATGGCGCCTGAGTGGTGGTTCTAGGTCGAGGAGTGGTTGCTAATTTAGCTTTAACAGATACAGGAGCTTTAGTGGTGCTGATCAAAGTCGTTTTAGCCGTGGTCGAAGGAGAAGCCGTGCTTATTTCCACGCTTCTTCTGGTACTAGTGGTTGTAACTGGTTTCCAAGTCACTTGCACGGGTGTCAAACTACTAATTACTGGTCTTTGACTGGTTGATTGCTGTGTTTCTACTGATTTCCGCGTGGATGTTGAAACTGTAGATGCTGGAGACAAATCGATTATTATTGGCTCAGAAAGAGATGTCTTTGCTGACTTGTAAATCGAATTTGGCGAAGCATTTTCGATACTGATAGCTTTTGGTGATCGAGTCGGTCCCGGATTTTTCAGTGCCAGTTCCAAAATCTGAAAATAAAATATAAAAAGAAAGTTAGGAAATGACAATTCTGTTCTACACTGCGCAGATTTGATAATGCTTCTCTTTAGGACACTGTATATATGTGTATATACATGTATATGAGATATTTAAAACTGGATACCCGTGAAAGTATGGTATGTTTTATTTTATTCATTTATCAGAACGTAAAACACAATCGAATCAAAGCAAATTTCACGTACAAAAAAAGGTTTCGCTTTCCTATACTTCATAAGTCTACAGGAATATTCGGAACTTTAATACGGTCATATTACGACTACTCCTTTTACAAGTCAAATATTTCATGGAAAAATATTCTCTTTATTCCCACTACAATGAGGACTAATTTTATTATATGATAACGATGTGCGTACTAATAGCGTTATCGTCCAATGGGCTATTTATTGCTATTATATTAATGCCATCTACGCACGCATTAAGTTCTGTCGACAGACAACGTTAACGAGAGATGACATATTAAACGGCTGTTGCGAGGAATAGAGAAGGCCGCTGGCAAGGACGTTCCAGTCCATTCACCGTGACTGGTCGATCATATGATTGCGATCGTCGCAGATCCGTCATTATGTCTTTCCGAGAAGGGCGTGACTAAAGATAATTTGTGATCTATCGAATTTTTCGTCTTGTACGACTTCCACCGTTGCAATTTTATTTATACGTTGTGCAGAAACACGAGAAAGAAGTTTATTCTAGAAGTGAGAAAAAAGAGAATCGACGTGATGTAGCTTAGAAGCTAAAGCTCGATCTTATTAGAAACAGAATACAATTCGTTGCACAGTCATATAAAGGAGTGAAAGGATCGTTTAACGTTAGCAACGCGACTTGTTCCTTGGTTTTCCCCTCGAACGATCATTGCATTTTGTTTTCAAGGAAGATCACAGGTTTACTAAGAATCTTATTTTTAAAATTTCTTCTACTTCATATTTTTAAAGAAACGTGATGTTCTATGTAGTATAACATATGTCGGTCGCAACAATTTATTCATTTATGTGTATAAAATACAGTAGTATCACATTTGATCAAGGTCGAGATATAGTAATATTGTTTCAATTGAAATTTATTTATTAGGATATACTGAATACTTCGTTTTTATATTTTATGCACTACGTAATTTATTGTACACATTACTTACCTTATTTGCCAAGAGTTGCTCCACTTGTGTCAATGTCTTCTGACTGGTACTCCGTGAATTACTCTGTAACTATGTAAAAAATATATGTATAATATACATAATATTTTATAGAAATTCGCGTAGTTATTAGGAATACATATAAAAATTTATCTACTTACCAACGAATTCAGGAAGGCCAAATCATCGAATGTAGTACCGAAAGCATTTTGCTGTCGCGTATTCAACAAATTTTTTGATAAATTAAGTGAATTTATTTGAGAAGAAGTTGTTGTTTCAGAAGTAGCTCCTGCCTGTGACGCAATCATCACCCTTTGAGCAATTGTCGGAGGCTCTGAAGTGATGATAGGTGTTGTCATCGTGGTAGTTGTTGGCGTCATTGCAGCCACTGTTGTTGGGGTCATTGTTATACTTGTAGTGGTAGTTGTAGTGACAGTCGGCGCCCTTATAGTTGTAGTTGTTGGTGCCATCGTAGTAGTAGTCGTTGTTGGTGCCATCGTAGTACTAGTTGTTGTTGGTGCCATCGTAGTAGTAGTTGCTGTTGGTGCCATCGTAGTAGTAGTTGTTGGTGCTACTGTAGTGGTAGTAGTAGTTGTCGTTGGTGCCATTGTAGTAATAGTGGTAGTAGTAATAGTAGGTGCAGGAGTTGTAGGTGTAGTTGTAAGTGCAACAGGCGTTGTTGGTGGTGGTGGAGGAGGAATGGATCCTATGTTACCTCTTGGAACTCCAATCGTATTAGAAAATGGAGTAAAAACTTCGACAAATGGATTGATCGGACGAGCTAAGGCTGGGCCATTTGGTTCTGACAAATCGTCCTGAGAACGAGAGCCATATATATAATTTCAACGAAATATATCTATAATAAATAATATGAAATAATTGAAGTATAGAAAAAGTAATGCTTTTTGAAGGAAGTACGTAATTGTAAGTTGATTCTGAAAAACAGTGATTCAAAGGTAAAATTTAATTAATACGAACCAGTCTGTTTGATGTCACTGAAGCTGTTATTATCGGCGAGGAGGTAGTAATACCAAAAATTTGGTCCAAAGGATCCCTCCATGGGAATCCAGGCGGAGCTGTGACTTGACCCCCTGCTTGATTGTTCAGGAGATTCTCAAACGATGGTACAGAAGGTGATGGTCCTTCGTTTGCAGCAGTCTAAAGAAAATAATATACATAGATATGTATATGATTTAGAAATTCAAAATTATTATTTCACGAATAATAGTAAACTTTGGTTTGCAGATTTTAAATATTTTACAAACAAATCAAAACTACCCAAAGAATAATATTTCGATAAAATATGCAAGATGAAGAGAAGAAGCCGTTGAATTCCTCTTATTCCTTTAACTTACAGCTACTGAATTTATATTCACACTGAGAACGCGCGGGTTAGAGGTGGAAGCCCCATCGGTCCAATAATTGACGAACTTGTCCTGAAACATTCGACGTTGCTCTTTTTTTTCGCTGCAGAGATATGTTGCAGCGCTGAAAGAATCAGCCGCAGCATCGTTGTAAATCATGTTCTGTCTCTCTTGCTTTCTTACCTGTCCAATGTACACGGAGCTGCGTTGACCTCCGGCCTCCTTCGTCCTGGTGGCCTCGTCCCTCTCTCGATCCTGGACGATACGACCGCCCTGCGAATCGGTCGGCGGTCGACCGGTACTTACTATCGGCGTCACCGACGCTGTCCTCATTTGCGTATTCAGCAGGGCATTGCTCTAAACAATGCGAAACCATACCCTTCGTTCTTTAAACCTTTCAAAACAAACTTACATCTCAAAAACGATACATGAGAAACTTCTAATAGCGAAACTTCGATCGATCGTTCTGATTTCATAAATAGGAAAAATTGTAATCATAGCAGAACTTCATATTTTTTTTTTTTTTTTTTGTCGAAGGTGAAGAAATCCGTATGATAAAAGTGCAGTGGTTCTTCTCCGCTTACCTAGTAACGCGATAATAATAAATAAGAAACGATCGATTAATATTTCGCTATATTGTACGGGCCTCGGTAAGTAATCGGTGGGAATGAACGATGAATGAAAATGAAATATTTTTCAAATCCTGTTCCGAAGAGTTTATCGAATACCATAAAATTATTAATTTCTTTCTTCATTTTTCTCATTTTTTGTTTCCCTACTATACCATATTTCGCATAGAAAGTTTAAATTTCAAATATTACAATTTTCTGAACTGAAGTAATCGACAATGTAAAGTGCACCTTCAACTTTACTAAACATAAAGTGCGTTTCAAAGTGCGCGGTGCATAAAAATAACAAACATGCGACATATATAAATAATTATTCACAAATTTACAGTGAAATTATATACAACTCCCCATTATACAAATTAAAAAGTTTTATGTGAGATAAAAAAACATGTTGAAGTAGGCATTGGATAAATTCTTTTTACAACGATACCGAATCGAAAGAACGAATTAAAACAACGTGAAGTAAGAAACGTAAAGAATTGAAAAGAGAGATAATAGATATAATTAATCCACGCGAAATTGGAAAATTAGTACTACCAAAGAATCTACTTTAACAAAACCAAAGCGTTAAACAAAAAGCAAGTGTTCTGTGCCATTGTTATCATAAAAATTACGACATTATAAGTAACGAAAAAAACTGTCATAAAAAATTTACATACACACGTGTATATGAATACAATGAATACAAGACATAAAGAACGAAGAAAAGATGTATATAAATGAAACATAAAATAAATCAACAAATCGAATCTCAAATATTTACAGAAAACCCCAAATATCTAAACAATTACGAATATTTACATCCTGATCCATACACCCAAACGTTGTCAGACTTTTCCAAAAACAAATTTCACCCTTTTACACTTTATGCAACAATGACACAATAATTTTTGAAGCAGAGGCAAAAGTAACACGCGAAATGAGAAAGAGACGACTGGTTCACTTGGAGTAAACCGTATATTCGCACGAGTTCGAGCGATGCACGCACGGCTAACGATCGATGATGATGAACAGGTGGAATAAGAGATACCATTTCGTTGGTGCTCGGGACACTAGCAGGGGTACCAAGTGGTCCCGTATTATCGGGTCCACCTCCATTGGGGCCGACGATCGCGTTACCAGTAAGGCCAAGATCAACGATGCTGGGACTTTGGACGTTTCTCATTGGTTCAGCGACAGGTCTATCGTTACTATTGTACACCGGGCCTCGATATTGATTGTAAGTGCCTTGGTTAGCCTGGTTATAATACGGTCTGGGTGGTGGCCTGTTAGTGGTAGTGGAAGTGCTAAGTGAGAACACAACCTCGACCGGGTTCCTAGGTGGATCCGGTATTATCGTTCCATTCGGGTATTTTCGAACCAGCCTGCCGTCCGGGAAGATACCGAATATCACGTACGGGCTGTCCACGTTTCTAGCATCGATCAGGTTGTCCTCTGGCCGCTTTCTCACGATCGTTTTGTTCGGGTAGATTCCATACACTAGGTAGTCTCGTAGAGGAGCTCTGGTAGTCGAGCTTAGGCTGAAACGTGGGGCAGGTGTCAATCTGCTGCCGCCGAAGCGACCTAAATAAGGCGTCGTGGAACTCTGAGAAGCTGGCCTAGGTGGAAGGCTAGTAGCTGTCGGCACGGTCGTTCCAGGGGTAGCTTGCATGGACACGGTTGTTGCTTCCGTAGAAGCAGAAGTTGTATTCGTGGAGTCGTTCGTAATACCTCCTGACATTGTGGTCGTACTTTCCGACGAAGCAGATGTCGTCGATGTTCCAACTTCGGTAGACACGAGATTCTCTTCTATATTGACCGTAGTAGTTTCCGTCACAGGGGTGACGGTGACGACGTCCATTCTCGTCGTTTGAGGTGTCGATGTCCCCCCGTCAGGAACGCGTCCTGTACTCGTCGACGTCGCTGTCTCAGTCGTGATCGTCGTCGTCGTCGTTTCGACCGAAGATGAAGTGGTTGTAATGAGGGGAACGTCGGGATACGATGAAGTGGGAGATTCTGAGGACGTTGATGAGACGATTGAAGTATCTGGGATCGTAGGAGTTGTGATCTCGGTCGTTTGGCCGATTCCCGAACCTGCCGTCGCTTGGGCGGTTGCTGATGTCGTATCCTGGAAACGGGCAACAATAGTTGGAGATTTGTTCTCAAGATTTGGGGTCGTTTGGGGGACGTTTTCGCTGGGTGCATTAGTAGTGGTTTCCATGACAGGAATTGTAGTCGATGTTAGCGAGAATTGGTTAGTAGTGACTCCCATATCGTCAATAGAGTTAAAATCCTGCTGCGAAGTGGTTGTCATCGATGACGGGGTGGGTTCGGGGGTTTCGTTATCAGCGCTTTCGGTGATCAAAGATGCCAACTGAGTCGTGGACTCTGTTGTTTGGTTAGTTTCCACTTCTACCTCATTTACACGTTCAACCAATTCTACGGCAGATGCCAATGTGGTTTGTTCGAAGGATATTGATGGTGTCATAGTGATCGTATTTACAGAGGAAGAGGTAGTTTCGGGAGCTACGGTAGTTATTTCAGGTTGAGTAGTAGTGCCAATGTCTGTCATAAGCCGTGATGTTACGGTTGTGAGACTGGTTAATGGTACGGTGACTCCTGTAGGTTCAGTGACACTTTCTGTAACCTGTTCGGAAACTATTTGAGGGTTGGTTGCCGTGATCAAATTAGACGAAAACAAATCGAACGTGTCAGTTGTTAACTCGAAATTCATGGCGAATGTGGTTGTCGTTTCTGAACTTTGTGTGCTGGTGGTTGTCTGTGTCTGAGTCGTGGTATTGAGGCCAATGTCAGCATCGAACGATCCGCTAAGCGACAGAGTGACTCGTGGCTCAATTTCTGTCTTAAACAAGGGGGTCGTCGATTCTATGATCTCGGCAAGGGGTCCTAACGCTACTGGTGTGGTTTCGGTCTGTACGCTCTCTACTTCGTCATCGGGCATGTTACTTCGAGGCGTTGTTGTCAGTGTATCTGTCAGATTTTCAGAAGATACGGTTGTAGTAAAGTCTACCTCATTCTGTGAGGGATCAACCGGAATAGTAGAAGACTCTACATTTTCTGACATGGTATTTAAGGAAAAAGACGATGTCTCTGCAACTTGGGTAGTGCTAAGTTCGTCGTTGGACGACGGTCGGTATATCTCGTTTTCCATTAAGTTATCTAATCTAGATGTGACGTTTGAATTTTGTCCGGCTATTTCTTCCTGATTATCGTTTATCTCATCCGAAAAGAGTGTTTTGGCAATGGACATTAACTCTGTTAGTAAAGTGTCATCGGTGGAAGTGATCGTCGACACAGTAGTTACATCAACACTTAACGGGGAAGTCGAAGAATCATTTGAATCGCCTACAGTGGTCGAATCTGTGTTCGATACTGTCTGAAAGTCTTGTGTGATTGTTGTAGATGTTATTGTTGCTGGTGTTGTGGTTGTTATTGCATTTATTTCATCCTGCGTGTTGACTTCCTGAGTAAATACCATTGTGGGTGACGAAGCAGCAATTGAACCTGCGCTTTGGGTAATTACTTCTTCGATCGTTCTTAAACTCGATTGCTCCGTTGTAACCGACGACGGGGTAGTTGTTCCCGATTCTCCTTGATTGATCGTCGTTTCATCCCTCAATTGCGACAGGGACTCCAAACTACGATTACTACTCGAATCTCGTATCACGTTCGATGTTTCCGTCGTGGGAGATAACATCGTCGTCGAATCTTGACTCGGTACCGTGGTCGTAGACATAGTTGCTTGCAATCGAAACAGGATATCTTGCGCGAGATCTATCAGCCTGGTTCGAATAGTGGACGTGGGTATCGCCGTAGTTGTCTCTATATCGATCATATTACTCGAATCTGCTTCGGTCGTTAAAGCATCAGTCGAGCTAATATCGGCTGTCTGAGTAGCAGTGGTATCAGACAGCGGTATGGTATTAGTCTCGGGATTTTCAAACGTTGTCGCTGTGTTGGTGACAGTTGTCGAAAAGGTAGTCGTCTCTATCGTATTCTGCAAAAGGTCTATTCTTGACGTAATATCGATATTGCCAGTCGTGCTCTGCGTTGTCGTACTAACAGTGGTGGAACTCGTATCACCTTCGAACTCGGTACTACTACCTTCGGATGTAGAACTAATAGTCGTAAAAGCATCCGTGGTAGAACTCACGGGTTCCTGATTGGTCGAACTGTTATCTGCCGACATGGAAGTCTGAACATCTTCCGCACCTTCGACGTTCATCGTCGTTGCATCTGTAGACCGCAAAAACGACTCTGTGCTAGTTGACTCAGTGACAGACATGGAATCGACGTTGGTGGAAGTTTGTTCCGTAGTGAAGGATGAATCTCTACCGATGGAAACTCGTTCGGTATTGGAAACCGATTCTGTACTGGTGAAAAGTTGTTCGGTACTGGAGGGCGATTCTGTGTTGGTGGAGGCTTGCTCGGTACTAGAGGACGATTCTGTGCTTGTGAAAACTGGTTCGGTCGTTGAAGGGGTTTCGGGGGCTCCTGTGGTAACCGCGGGGATGGAGTTGTCCGGATCCTCGGGTAATCTCGGGGTCTGTGTGCTGTCCTGAATAGTGTTCGCGGTGATGTCTGATGTCTGTGGGCTGATAGTTGCTACAGTGGGGCTTGTGGTGTCATTGTTAGCGTTATCGCCGATATCGTTAACGGTGGCGTTAAAGTCTACCTGGGAAACACTACCAGCTTGTTGTTTTTGTAGCTGTGCAATCGCGTTTCCCTGTAACTGTTCGTTCCTGATGCTGGCCGACTCCAATGCCTGATAAAGGGTCAAGAATCTCGGCTCGCCAGGACTTGAGACATCGATTGGTGGGGCCGAACCAGAGTTCTAGAAACAGAAATTACGTGCGTGCATGGGGTGCTATACATTAAATTCGGTGCCGAATCGGAATTGGTGACTTCCTTTTATGTACAATTTCTACGTTGCGTCAATCGGTGTATTTACAATAGAACAAGGGATCTAAAGTACGCGTTGTTCGTTCAATAAGATCGACAGTTGAAAGATAAATCGATGTAAAACGAGGGATTATGAAAGTACACCGGTCATTTCGCAGATTAATTGATCTCATAATTGAGTGAGCATACACCATCTCTTGGTAGAAATACGAACTAGCCAAGGAAGAGGAGAAACCGAGGTTGCTTTAATGCATCAAGAAAACACAACTGTTAGCAAAGGAACGGTGAGCTAGAAACTCGTTCTCCGAGCGAAGGATCGTTTATACGGGCAATAGAGACTGGTTGCCCGCTCACTTTGATTTTTTCCTTTTTATCATAGCTGTTAATCCTCTCTCACAGAGGTCTCCAGTGATATGTCTTTAACAACAGTATCTTCGAACAACATTGAAACGTGATTTCATTTAATGGAGATTTTAAATATTTTTAGAAATTGCTAAGATCTGATAAAGAACGGGTTAAGGATAACAACGATCAAATCGATTCAAAAATAACATATATCATACAATATTTGTAGATTTCCACATGTCAATTGACAAATGTATTAAGCAATATGAAACTAATTTGAAACCTGAATTCGGACAACTTGTTACAGAAAACCGAGATCGAGGCTGCATGAAGGAGAAGTGAATTCGTGACCTTAAGTCGCGTATCCTTATTTTCGTTCATAATGATTTTGATCCACCCACATGTCCTAAATACCATCCATGTTGAGACACTTTTAATACAAACACATGACGCAGCGTTCATTTACTTTCACTCGTTAACGCTTCGAACACTGTGAAACGCGGATCACGAAAATTTGCCTATGTAATCGGAATGCGCTCGTATTAGAAAGTCAAGTCCCGTTACGTCGAATTTCAACAAAATGTTGCTTCGTTGGGAGTATAGTCACGTTACGTCTATTCAATTTTCATAAGTTCGTGGATATCATCGTGAGAGTATTCATCGAAGTCAGAATCGAGCAAACCGACTTACATCGTAGTCAGTACAGTGATATTCTTTCATTACGATTTTCTGGATTTATAGTTTAGAGATCAATAGAAGAGTGTACTTTTGAACTGGCTATTGCTTCTCAATTATAGCATTTCTCTATCTACCTTTAATAATTCCGATAGTAATTTTGACATGATTCGAAAGAATAATTTATGGACGCGATTAAATAAGAACGAACAACTGCATGTCGCGTGCGATCCAAAAACCAAAATATTTATTATCAAAGATATATATATATATATATGTGTGTGTGTGTGTGTGTGTGTGTGTGTATAATCTTGTATAACACAATATATGCATTATGGTGTAAGTAAAACAACGTAAGTACCTGTACATATTAGTAAATGCAAACCCATGATAACTATTAGCATGAATCACAAAACTAAAAATAAACGTTAATCACATAAATGGTTATGTACTTTTTATTCGTTTTCTTGTGTTACTTATAATCTTTTTTTATAATTTAACCATAGAAAAGGTTGCGTCTTCTAAACGAGAATTGTTCACACTATTGAAACTTATTGTGCGATACTCGTATCTATGTCGACGATATAAAATTGTACTAGCTGTATGGAATGGATAAAAAGAGATAAAAAGAAACGACTTTTAACATTATAGATAATATTTTAAAGAAAGCTCGGCAAGTATGATAATCCTTTGCGAACGATGAATCGTTATAATATTAATGAAAAGAAAAGATGATTAATAATTATTAGTAACGCGTCTGACTAAGTACAATCCGAATGATTAAATCAACGCAGTTTATTCGTATCGATGTCATTAGAATCGAGACTTCCAGACGGAGTTGTGATGACACCAATGTGATCGGTCCACGATGGTGATGCGACTGCTCCGATCTTCTCGGCTACCTTCGTGGTGAAAACCTTTTAAGCACAGAAAAAACGACCACACTGACTCACTGTTAACCACCTATAACTTTCTTCTTCTGCCACGTAATCTTACCTCGGTAATCATCGTCACGATCCATTTCTTTCACATATATACGACCTTCCATAATTTTTTAACGCTACTTTATAATTTTCATTTATCGAGAACGAACATAATATTCTTAAATTTTCTCAATAATATCCAATAAACTTATTGTGAAAATTAAGAAATTTGCGGTGCAATGAGATATGATGAGACTAAAGAGTATCTTGCTCGAAGAAGTTAGAAAATGAATTTGAAGAATGTAGGAAAGTTTAACATGTTTATAACGTTTAATCTTTTGTGAATACTTCCTGAATATTGTCGATATCTTTTTAAACATTTAATATCTTAACGATCTTACCTCTACGGGTGTAATTGGTGTAGTCGACGAACTAGTAATCGATGGCACGGTGGGCTGATAAATATTATTTTGTTTTCTAACGAATAATTCCGCTCCTTTGTATCTCGCACTAAAGCGGGGTGGTTGTCCACTGGGGGTGACTCTGGGTGGTGAATTCTGTTCACAAACGACAGGATCGATTACTTCAAGTAAATAAACATTTTACCGACCTAAATGGAAATTCTTTTTTTAAATAAAGTTTCGAATTATTAACAAAACGAAAGACGGTCGACATTTTATTTTTGTCAAATAATCAAGATTAATATTTACCACGTTGTTAACGTTACTGTAAGATCCGGAAAACACAGGCGTCTTGTTACCAAGGGAACTCAGCAGCGGTGCCACCGTGCTTCTCAGTTGCTCCAGCAGTGTACTGTTTCCGCTCAGAAACGTGCTTCTGGTCGGATTGAAGACATTCGAGTTACCGCTATCGCCGTTGCTGCTGCCGGTAATTCCTGGCGTCTCTTGCGCCGTCTCGTTCGCGATCTTCAAGTTTACCTGTGGTCCCTGTGCTACCGATCGAGGAGATACCGTGGAGGTTTTTAAAGTGGCGTGGTATTTTGTCGACCTCGGTGTAATGGCGATTCCTACACCGTCGACCTTCGTACTGGATTCGGTTAAAGTCGTGGGAATTTCTGAATGTCTTCGATAGGTCGCGGTTCTAGGACGAAACTCGATCTTTCTCGTCTGTGCAGATAACCCCTCCGTTGTCGCCGATTTATCATCGATAGATTTTACCGAAGATTTTTTCTTCGAATATCTGCTGGTAGCTACGGGTAGTTTCGTGGTAAAGGTTGCTTGTTCATCCGTCGTCTTCTTCTCGAAAGATTTCTCATTGGTTCGTTTGCTGTAACGAGGTCTAAAAATGGGCTTGGTAGCGCTGGTAGCAAACTTCGATTTTTTTGTAATGTTCTCTTCCTGGGACGTTTGCGATTTGCTCTGTGTGGAGGAGTAGGATTTCTTAGGTGTCGACGTCGTGAAACTTTGGTCGATCGTTGCAGACTGCTCTCGTAATTTATTACGTGATTGATAGCTATAGGATTTCTTCGGTTTGATAGTAGTAACGGGATCGATAGTCTCGACGCGTTGAGTGGAGTAAAGCGAAACCTTCATGTTCTTGGTCGGCGTCGAATCTTCTTCCTTCGACTTCTTTCCTCCACGATCACTGGCTAAACGAACCCTCGTCGAGTCGATGGTTGTCGCCGATCCCTGTTCAGCGGATGTGATCATGGACGGGTTCGTGGTTAGCGCGTACGGTCTGGTCGTTTCCTCGGCAATGGCTCTCTCTTCGATCGAGATCGAAGTGACCATCCGCTCCGCAATGACCCGCCCCTTCTTTAAACTATACGGTCTGCCGGTGACCTTTGAAGAATCATCGTGAGCTTTCCTCGAACTAGGAAGTTTCAAGGTTTTCACGCTGACCTCTTCCTGAGTGCTTTCTACGGAAGTGGAAGGCCTGTTGCGTCCCGGTGCTGCGGCAGCGGGCTTAGAGTATTTGGCGACCTTGCTCGTCTCATCGACCACCGGCACGCCGGTTGGTTTCCGTTTGCTGAAAGAGGAGGCCGTGGTTGCGTCGAGATCATTCTCCTCGATGTTCAACTCTGGCTTCACTAACCTCCTAGCCAGCTCCAGTTTCATCCTCGATCTTTCAGCGAACAGAGCGGCTGACGATTTTTTCACCTGAAAGGGTCGTTCAAACAGCTCCGTTTTAAGATAGTGGAAAACCGCTGTCGAGACTGAAGCCGGCTCCGGAAGCTCGAGCGGGAACTCTGTTAGTGTACCACGGTCTCGACGAGCTTTCCATCGACAGGAGACGTTCTCAAGGTCGCTCGGAAAGCATACACTCGCAACAGGTCGGGAAACGAAGGACGGTACCGATTCGATTATGGGAAGACGACATAGCACGCGGCCGATATTTTCCTACATGAAGAATAGGAGCTTGAGGAAGCGTAGAAACGAGACGATCCAGGCCGCCATTTGACTCGTAACGAGCTCGAGCCACGATTTCACTGTACTGGACAACAACTGGAAAGTTTAATCAATGTTATCAGCACACGCGACTCGAGGATACATTTCATTGAGTGCGAAAGAAGGAGAGCGAAGTGTGAAAACGACCATTTTGTGAACGATCCATAGAGACGGTGACAAACGCGGTGACAAACTAATCGATGTACAAAATAACACAAGCCTGGCTCCAATGAAGCTTTTTCTTATTTCCATTAATCGTATGCTATAAAAATGAATGGTTAACTTCGTACTAATGTGAAACTATCTATCGTTCCAGTGAGGAAAAAAAATCATGTATCATCTAACAATTATTCGAGGATGGTTCTTAAAAGCGCCGATCAAGCGATTAGCTGCGGTGAGGAGGTGATATAATTCAGTTTCCCGTACAGTCATGAAAGTTCTTCTGTGCTCTTTTTATACTGTAGTCTGGTTCGGTGTAAATTATAGCGATTGCAGAACAAAAGGAAACAAGTTTGTAGTTCATAGATCTTTCGTTACTTGTTTTATTCATGAATAATGACAATTTCGGGCATCGATCTTAGAAACATGGGTTTCTTTATCGACGACGTAAAATGAAATTATGCATGTTCGAGAAAATCAGTTAAATTAATCGATTTAATGAAATGAAATAATTTTTCAATATACTACTTATAGAGTTACTCTACATTCTGACCATCTATTATTGTTAATTTTGTTTGATATCTTTAAATACAGTTTTTACTTGAAGACAAAGGATTTTTACAACAAACTCAATTTCGATGTAATTACGAGACTGAAAGTCGTTCATTTGTTCATGGTTTCGAACAGAGGTAGAATGTATGATCCTACAGAATAAAAAATTTATTGACTCTGTAACAAATTGCGTTTCTCTTCTCTTATGTTTACTTTCTACCATGTTTAATTCTTTTTCTACCTTTCGTTCTAAAAAATTTACTGCTGAACCTCTGATATCATCGGAATTAAAGATAATAGAAAATGCCGAAAAGAAATTCCTTGAAAGTAAATCTAACAACTTCTGATTGTTTCGAAACCGATGATGCAATTAAGAAAATTATCATTTTATGTGAAAAACGTCATTCATGTAGATTTTACTTTATTATTCTAATGTGCTACCTACGAAATTTTCCCAATTTAAAAAATTTTTAAACCATTTATTCCTGTTTCTATTTATTATCATACGCGGTAAATATAAGAACAAATATAAGCGACAAATGTAGCAACGATTTAAAGTGAAAGTCACGAAGTTAAGACATCGTGGGGTATATAGACGCTCGGCAAATACTTAAGATCATTTTCACAAGAACAAATTTTACTCTGCATTCACGATTCATTATTTTCACATAGAATAATTTCTTTTGGTTGCTTCATCCCTGTCATTAACCATTTCTCGTGTCTATAATGAACAAGAAATTTAGAAGTCTAAGCATCAATAAGATAGATATCTTACATAGAAGACCTCTTCCAGTAGAAGACGCAACTCCGAACTCTACCTATCAAAGTTACCTCGCTGGGAATAAATCGGGACTCGTTATGTTCAGGTAAGTCAAATAAACCTTCACTTTCTCCATCGAGAACCCAATACAAAAGCAACTGAATGAAAACCAAAAACCAGTTTATAAACTGCGTAATGCACGTGAGCCCTGAATAAGTCGAGCTCGATAAGTAAGCACATTTTCGCGATAAACGAAAGTAAAAATAGAAGTCCACTTTCGAAGAACGTTTCGATCAAAGTTTTATATTCATTTGGACCTTGAGAGAACTCCACGTCGAGGATTCGTCGTTCCTCGTGTTAAAGGATATCGTTCGATCCAGTCGCGTTTGGAGATGAACGATATCATCGAAGCAGTTCGTTACGATGATGTATCGCAAGATCTCAAAAGCATCTGATTTTACCAAAATCGTGGAGACGATGCAGATTTTTCACCAACCACCAGAGGAAAGCTTGTCTTTCAGTTGGCATTTCTTTCCCTTTGTTAATCGCGCATCATTGTCCAGTCTTAATTGGTCGTCAATGATGTTACAAGCAAACGATTACATAGTTCGTAGACTTTTACCTCACCAACAAATTAGTGTTGATTCCAAGGCGAAACTTTAGTACACATACGTAAGTTGTTTTGAAGCTTTTTAAACATTGCGAAAATAGTGAAAGAAGAAGTATCTTAGACGATCACAGCATTTGCGAATATACAACAGAAGAATTATTTCTTAAACTATTAAGGATACAGTCGACATATAGATTTTTACTGTTCTTCGCAAAACACTTTTAAGCAAACAACCTTTCTTAGTTAGGTTTACGATAGTTTGAGAAATAATTATAAATCAATCGTACTACGTTTACACACATATGACGTTTTCCGAAACTGCAGCATTTTATATAACAAAATAGTAGCTAAATAAAATTCACAATGACCAAAGCAAAACAGAACGAAACAACGTATTTAAGAATTTTCAGATACTAATGACATCGACATAAATATAGACCAAGCACTTCTATCGGAAGATAATCGATAAAACAATAATTAAAAGCCGCTAACCGTTAGAAACGAGACGCATTAGAAACGTTTGCAGTCGGTTTCTCCTAAAAATGGAAGAGAAGCTCTACGAACGCATCGAGGAGATACATAGAGGATGGTGGATACATAGAGCACAAGCGATCACGTAATACAATGATTTATCTGTAGTCTTACGCGACGCAATCCTGTGCCATTTATCAACGTTAAGGGATTCACGACTAAAGTTTCATCCGTCAAAACATTTGCTGAAGCTGCGGTTTCGAGGTCGTCAGGCTCGAACGCCATCGAGTTGTTCCTCGAGCGTCGACCATAGATATTCCTCTCTTGTTCCTACACGAATTGTTTTGACTTCAAAATGCAAATTACTGATTCCTTGACTATTACGATAGAAACAGTACTAGTGTCTATTTTATGAAGCCGTTGGAAAAAAATTCGCCAAAAGATAAGAACGGTAAAGTGGTAATTGTGTGGTTTGTTACGTGCATGCTGATTAAGTTGTTTAGTGTTAGAAAATGTATAATACATCGTCCCATTTCGTCGCAGTCACTTGTCGTTTTTTTAATTTTTTGTTTAGTCCTTCAGCGGTTGACTGTACCATTATTTTACAACAACGCAATAATATCAGTCAGTGTCAAGGATTACAACGTCTACGTATTAAGGTACTGTCGTAATGAAAGCTGTAGACCGTTGAACTAGAATAGAAGCATAGAAATGTATGTTACACTTTATTAATTAAAAAACAAGAGAGACTTTATTTAGATGCTGTAAGCTGATATGAAGGGCACTCTGAACTCTTACCTCCAATGGCGTTCTAGAGGTGGTTTTTGAGGCTGGTATTTTCGTGTTGGTATTCTTCTGAAATAATACTTTTCGATTAGAACACACCATATTCTTTCTAGAATTCTATCAATCAGGATTGTAACGCTAATCGTTATACGCGTATTAAGTTTTTGCCATATATTGCATATATCATATGTATATTGATTCGGAAATAATTTTAAATATTTCACAAGACATAAAAGAAACTATATGTGAAACGTGTTTAAAAAGAAGTAAAGTGTTATATGTAAGTGTTATATGACTAGTCGTTCGCGTGTAAGACTTATTACTTATTACACAATGAAATTAATTGAAGTAATGAGACAGTTGAGAAATCGTTCGTTCGTAATGGGAGTGACAACGCTTAAACATTCTTTAAAGCTGAAAGCATACAATTTCTTGTTTTAAGTTCTATATTCTTTGATCAATGCAGTTTTATTACAAGTACTATTCATAGTGTCACCACTCCCCTTGTAATTCAATAATTACGTTCAAGTACACATATCTGTCTCTATAAAGCTATCTATATTTCTTTTTATCCGATAAAACTACAAATTTATAGGATATTTCCCTACTGAAATGTAAGCTTAATTCCAATTAAAAAAATCCAATTAAGAAATAGAACTCACCAACTGAGTTAACCTCGCCTTAAACTCAGGCGGGTAATTATCACTTTCTTCAAGCGCCGCAATCACCTTGCCATTTCCAAAGGTTTTGTTGCCTCTTCTGTAGCTCTTGGTCGTGGTTTCAACCACAGTGGAACTCTCGTCCGTCGTTTGCAGCTTCTTGAGGCCTCTTTTCGTGCCAAACGTGGAACTTTCGATAGTCGTTATAGCTTCGGTGCTGGTCGATTGTTCGTTGGATGGTACCACTTCGTTCGTCTGATCCCTTGGCGAAGACACGATCGTCTTCGAAATATTTTCAGAATTAAAATGAGCTGGTCGCCTCCTGAGCGTCCAGCCTGGATTTCCATGCGACTGGGAATCGTTTTTCCACGAAACGGTTTTTCTAGACTCTGTCACGTTTGCAGATCCTTCAGGCGAGGGTTTTCGACCTCTGAACCCTAGTCCGTGATTGAAGAAATCCTCTTTCTGTTTCCTACCGTGATTTCCGCTTCTGCCTCTTCCTCTACCTCGTCCTGATGCTTCGAGGGTTGAAGCAGAAGTCGATAATGGTCTTGATGTTGCTCTTGGACTTGGAGGAGTCGCTGATCTTATGGTCGTACTTGTTATCTCAGAATCGGTGGCTGTTACGTCGGTAAAAACTGTTGTATCTGGCGCAACAGTTGTGGTAACATCTGTTTAAGGAATTTTTATTTATATAGTTTCTATTATAAAATTCTATTTTATTATATTCTTCTATATATCTTCTGTTATAAATTATATTTCTATAATTTTTATTTATATTAGTTATACAATTTATTATTTATATAAACAAAATGTAATATTTTATAATATAATTTCATTCTTTACAGCTAATTGTAATTACTTAATTAACTGTTACGTACTGGATGTTTCACCTTCAAGTAAGATAAATGAACCTTTTTATGTATCATTAAAATTATTGTACCAAAATTCAATCTACAATCAAGTTATCAAATATTCTATTAACAGCAAGACTATATTTAAATTATTATTAGCGATTAACTAATTATCTCACCCATAGTAATAGGTGTGGTAACATCCGATCTCGACTTGCTTCTCGATCTTCCACGCACATCCTGAGTATCCTGTCTACGACTGTCGATAGCTCTTGGAGTAACATCGGGAATTCTCGGTCTCCTATCCGAAGAGTTTCTTTCTCCAGCCACCTTCCGCTTCACATTCCTCTCTGAAGCACCTCCCGAAATAGGTTTCGTATTATTTTCCACATTTCTACCTCTAGACCTTGATCTAGACTCGTTCACAGAATTCTTCTTGATCTCGGAACCTCTGGAACGATCTCTGGAAACCGTATTCCTTCTCGAACTAACAATCTGTTCGTTAGCTTCTGTCGTCGTAGAATCGCTGAACTTTGAAGATCCTCTTGGAGAAGCAGATCTGGATGATCCAGAAGCCTCGGAGTCGTTCGACCGTCCACGACTTTTCGATCTTTCGAATCCTGTCCGACTGGATCTGGATGACTCCTTAGCGTCCGATCTTCTCTGAGAAGCTACATCAAATCCAGTGGTTACATCCGAAGCTGGATTTCCTGTTTCATCTACAGTGAGGGGAATATCGACTCTTACACTTTCGGATTCTGATAAAAGAGGATCTGGACCTCTTCGAGCAATAGAATTATTCTCCGCATTGTTCACCTTCGATCTACCAGATCTGGTACTCCTTTCAATCTTCTCTGTAGTCGATCTACCTCTACTTTCTCTTCTAAACGAAGCTGTAGTGGTTTCAACGTCTCTAAATTTCTTACTGTTATACCTTCTAGACGTAGGGATTTGTGTCTTTAGATCTTTCATCGAATAAGTCGTTTGAATCTTTCTTCCGGTTCTAGACCTCGAAGACTCCGTGGTTGCCAGGAACACGGATGGTCCTTTGTTGTCCAATCTCTCAGTGACAGTTGAATTATTCGCTCTTCCATTAGACGTTCTTCGAGAAATCCCTTTGGGTGTTTCGGATTTTTGTTCATCATTTTTTAACTTTGTTCCTTTGTTGCTTTCAGAAAAAAATCTTTTGCCGTCTCGTCTGTTAATCGTTGGCTCCACCCTTTTAGTTTCCTCGAACCTTTTGCCTGAAGTTCTTCTCGACTCGCTTGTGACATCTGTTGCTGTTAAAACACTTCCCCTTTCGGTCGTTCTGATCGTTCTAACGGTCGAATGTTCGCTCGTGTCGAACTTTGGTTCTGAATTGATCACAGAAGCTTGGATCGTTCTTTCGAAATTCGAGAGCGTTTCCGATTGCGCTGATCTGTCCCACTTCGTTTTGGATCTCGATAGCGGCGAAGATGATACTGTGGTTGCTTCCTCCAGTGATTTGGAATTGAATCTCAAAGTGCCACGATTCGTAGCCTTATGATCATCGATCTGAACAAATTATGACCATTAGCATTTATTATTTTATACTGTTACTAATTTTTAATACAATAGTATTTTTATAATACTGAGATTAGTATTAAACTACTCGCAAATCCAAATAGTTTGCTCAATTTGCCTAAGACAATTTTCCCTCATCACATTCAAGTCTCTTGGACGCATTCTAGCGGTGTAACACCGATACGTCACAGCGATTTAATTGGTTAAATTACCTGTTCAAACAGTGACCATTAACGCAACGTGCCTGCATTCCGTGTTTAAGTCGGTGTTTTAAATAAATTAACTCTACACTAAGAAATTCATTCACAATCAGACCCAGACTGCTTTCGACTTGGTTCAAACATTCAAATTTATTCAAATGTATGCGTTACACGATCTCCATCTTCATGGTTAAACTTCATAATAATCGTCGCGACAACAGGGAAGAATAGATCGTTGATTTCAGCGTTTATTAGACCGACGTTCATTAGATCCTGGTTAGTGAAAATTGTCGTTTAATCGGATATTTCGCTATTAACTACCGGTTTTGAAATTATAGAACGATCGATTTGCAGACCACAATTTATAATGCATCAGAATGCGACGAATCTCATTATCTATTTCCATAATGCGACGATAACGCGACGATTTCGCGTGTAAAGGATGTTGCATCAGCGGTTCGGCCACGATCGCGATCAATGATTCTTTTGTAAATCCTGTTATGATGATAGTCGACATTATATGCATATACAAAGTAAATATAGGATCGCCGAGGAAGAACTTTATCGTGTTATAGGTGAGCTCCGATGAAGAATGTTGTGCCACGTAATAGGTGACATTTGCTTTGATGATCCTGACGTTGATGAGACAAAGTTAATATCCTTAATAAGCTAACAGATAATTTTAACACGCGTGCACTTGTTTTGTTCCATGTAATAGGATGTATTAATTATAGAAGGTGCATATGTATATCGATATACAGGGTGCCTCAAATTCTTTTTCACAAACGGTACTAGAGTGGTTTGCTATACTAGAGAGTAAAAGTAAAAGGAAGATATTATAATAAATATATGTATATGCCGACACTGTCAATGAAAAGTGCGAGGCAATATTAATATTTTTAGTTGGGAAAATATGTGGCAAAGAAAAAGCGGGAAGCGAAGGAAAACAAACTGCTGATGGTTTATTACTACATCAGGAAGAGAGAACAGGTTCATGACATAAAGTTAAGGTGAAAGCATCGTGCTTGAGCAAAATGCAGGAATATTTGCAACTGCTTTGACTTTTTAGAACAGATTATTGATGTTCTTGGAAATGTTGCAGATTAGATTGTGAAATAGTAAACGGAGTTAATGGTTCTCTATGATGCTTTACTACATACACTGTAATTATTTCTTATTTAGAACATCATAGAGAACCATTAGCCCCGTACATATGAGCGTACGTACGTCTTCGAAAATGTTAAAGTTGAATTAGCCAAGCGGATAAAAAATCTAAAATATTTCCGTACTATGTTGAACTATTTCTACTGAAATTACATAATTATTGAAATTATAGAGCTATTTAAGCTCGCATGAACCGATATTGTTCTGGTTATAGTTAATCGAGTAGTAGAAATGGCAGGAATTGAATTACTATATCAAATCGTGAAAGAATATGCATTAAATATTTATCAGATATTCGCCGAGAATAGTTAAAAAAATTAACAAGTTGACGTTTCATCGTTTAAACAGATAACTAGTATTTATCTTGAATTACAATTCTTCCGTGCCTAACGACAATAAACGACGTTATAACTAGATTCGTGATTTCATTTACTAGTCGTTCAGTTCGGACACTGCTAATCGTACCTTCAGTCACGAAATTAATTTGCCAAAAAAGACGCAAATTTTGATTTCCAATTCCTAGAGAACCCACAATTTTTGTGAATTTAATTACACTTTCAGTTGAGAAGATTAATACAAAAAAGACTATCTCTTTGATCTTTCTATATTAAACTGTGCAAGAAATTAATTAACAAATAACATATCGTGAAATAGAATTCTGAAAGTAGTATTCGTTGCTCGACTGTTATTTCCTTTCCGAGTAGTTAAACATAACATCTCAAATAACAGCAGTTACTATAATTTTCCGTTGCGTTGGCTACGTTAGTTTATTAGTCTATTAGTTACACTCTTTCAATTGCAACAACAAATCAATGCGACTTCTTGAGATTTCTCAACAATAGTACGATAGATAGATAATTAATAAATTTGACTTTTAAACGATACAATTTTCATAATTAGAGTTTAATAGATAACTTATTCCTCTAAGAATGAATCATTCCTTGATTCTTTGTACACGTGAAACATTATGATTAGAAAAAAAACTACTAGTGCAACATTATGATTACATTAACAACGATTCAGGGTAAACATTATCATATGTTAATATTATTCTATATATATCCTTCCTAAATTATTTCCAATAGAAACTAAGCTTAAAATCTAACATTGCTGATACTCAGAGTATCATCGCATCATACTGTTCTATGGGGCTAATAAAATTCTTTTTCTTACAACAATATTTGAAACAAATATCGTTGCATCACGCAATAATGACGCATTGACGATAAAAAAAGATAGTTCTACCATTTCTGCAATACTAATAACCTCCACAACCACGGGTCAAGTGGCTGTATTTACCTAAGAATTTTTTAAGCATTATAATACAAAGACAGTGATACTTCGAACGTGGCTTGGTGTTCCAGTTTCGTTTATCCTTATCTGTCCATAAGGTACACGTAGCGTGGAATCGACACTGAAAGTAAAAGTCGGTGTTTCACGTCACGTTACCTAGTCAAGCATGCAGCCGAACTCGAGAACAGCCTTAAACACGGCTGGCTGAATGCGCGACTAACTACTGTAAATAGACCTGCAAAATAACGTCTCTGCTGAGTTTCCCAAGCACGAATCACTTTTTTTCTCGACATTTTTGTCAGACCAGCTGAAATCAGCTAGATAGAACGATTCGACAACAAACTGTTTTAGATAGATGTACTTCTCCTCCTTTAAACAAAAGAGCGAAAGGACAGGTATCGACAAGGAAGACGATCGAAAAAAGAGGTAAGAGGATCTATCGATCGATCTTCTCGATCGTGAAAGGTGTGTTCTCAAGTCCTGATAAAAGGAAAGACAAATCTCGATAGAAGTGAACGCACTTTCGCTGGATGAGACTCGTGACATGAAGCCTTCCCATTCTCGCTCAATTAACTTGACTATGATTCAAGCGAGCATAGTTACTTGTTAAATCTGAGAATCAAAGAATTAATATAGATTACTGCAAATAAAATGATAAATTGCTACGCGAGTTACACTCGTTGTTCCTCATTTGGCGCACAATATTAATTTCAGGGTTGAGAAATTTTACCATTTATATCATATATGGTAGAATGCATTATGAAGCATTATGAAGCATAGCTGATTATGTTTTATCTGCTCTGAAATCTAGCACGCGTTTTTATTGAATTTTAGGCATATCTAAAGTGATTTTAGGTATTTCGTAATTACGACTTCGTGGACTAAAACTAGTTTTAATATTAATTTCTAGCTGGTTCGGTTCATATATTCTAGAATACTACTTTCCATATGTGTCCTACTAAAGATCTTCTTTTGCTGCAAAGGCTAATCAAAATTCATCAATCAAGCTTTACTTGTTTAACATAAAAAGAGAAATTTTATTCTCAGATGACCTCGATTTTAATACCGTATACCGAATAAGTAACGTCTGATGAGAACGATAATCATCTGTCAACGAAATTCATCAAGTCAACTTTCTTCACGAAATGCAAATCGAGTATTCAAACTGAAGATTTGCAGAAAGATCATCATTTTCCTTCAATCTCTCTTTATACAACTGAATCAATCCATTTTCAACTTGTGGAATGTAAATTACTAAATTATACTCTATGTACTCTATGAATTCTGAGAGATCACTAATTATATTTTCACAATCTGCCATCAATAACGGAGATCCCGACGTATCACCCTCGAGCAAAACGAGGTGTACCCTAAAATCCTCTGAAACTGAGTGAAGATATTTGAAATTGCACAATGAGCGCGCAAGTGAAGTTGAAAAATGGCAAAGCGCGTAGGAAAATTAACGCTATGAATAATACCAGGACATTACCATTCCGTCCTACGTCGCAATTACGTCCGCGCTCGCTTTCGAAGCAAAGCGAAACAACAGTTTTCTTTATTTGGCACAAACCAGTCAAAATGGTGTCCAGATCGGATCTACATAATGGTGATATGGATATTCGCATAAAACTGTATCTGGTTAGCGACAATGGTGTATCTAGCTAACAGGAGAAACATGCGAGAAATACTGTGAAGGTGATAGTATTATTTTCTAATCTCTTTAACTCTATCGAGTATGTGCGATTTATCGTAATAATTTTAGGAATTATTAATCTAAATCCTTTTACGACAATTAACTTATTGAACAAGTTTATATCTCTAACATCTTCGTGTCTGCTCAATTTCACTATATTGACATGTACATAACGTTAACAGATAAACATCAAACGTAACATAATTTACCTAATTTCTGTTCTTAAATATTAAGTATCTTTTCGTATTTCAATCGTCGTACAATCGTAGTACAATTATTATATTCAGATTTGAAAATAAAATAACGGTTGTAATTGCCGCGAAATTCATACAAGTAGGACAAAATTGGATGATTTTCTTTTGCAATCGCTATTAACGTTCAAAAGGATTTCCCAAGAACTTTCCTGCGAACCAATAAATTGGTCCTTTAAAAAGCTGAAATCAAAGTGCAGTTTCTCCCGTTTCTAACAAACGTGTGATATTCGATTATTTTTTCCGATAAGATAAAAAATCAGCAAGAGGTAATCTTGAATTTTTCCATTCGAACGGATGTACGTAACAATGAAGATCCTTGCAACACGAATACCTCCCCTATGTAATTACAAATTGCCTGTTTATTTGCGTAATTGGAAGACATGAAAC